TAAGGAACATGTTAAAGATGTTAATAATATGAGCCATTTTCTAGCCCTCTATCTGTCGAAAGGGTAACGAGGAACAGATAAAAGAGTACATCTTCAGAAGACGACGCTTTTTTAGTGTCAATAAGTTAAACTTCCAACAATTTCTTTGGAAAACAAACCACAGACATAAAAAAGAAGGGCCTATCAGGTATAGTTCAAATCAGAGAAAGGAGAGTCATACCCATCCAAGACAAGCTTCAGGTGATGCACAAGAGAAGATATATGACCAGTAACCTAATGACAAGTGTAAAAGCATGACTTCCAAAAATATATCCCAAAAGGGAAAAGATATCAAAACTTAACTAATGCAACTCATCAAACTTGTAAATAGGAAAACGCTCAGCTGCAAGCCTGCTAACCTGCACGCGTGGAATCAATCTAGTCAAAGTTTTTATAGCAGCACGCCTTATCTCTACCGAAGCGTCCACTTTAAACAATCGAATAAGCGCAGGAAGAAGTAAATGCATATGTTCATCCAAAGTTCCTGCAATTGTAACATGTTTCTATCAGTAAAAAAAAAGTTCAATGTCTAGAGCATTTTAAGTTCAAAATCTAGACAGTTTTACCATCTTACAGTTTATAATCCATGAAGAAACCCAGAGTGCTTCCAAAACCATATATTTAACCAAATATTAGAAGACAACAGTCTTTTATTTCTCAAAAATACACTTTGACTTTTTTTTTAACAATCACACAAAAATATTATTATTATTTATTTAAAAAAGAAAGAAAGAAAAGCAATACAGAAATTATTCAAATTGCGACAACGAACCACCGAAGACTTCAAGAGTGTGGAGTATGTCGAGAACATAGGTGTAATCATTATAGCGTTCTGCATCACTTAGAACTTGTATACAGCATGGAAGAATATTAGGAAGATATGTTCTGAACTCATCATTGAGAGCCAAGCAAAGCTGTTCCACTAAATGCAGAACCTGTGAAGAACATATAACCACACTTTTTTACCTTGAAAGAAAAAGAAATACCTTTTTTTTGGCTTAAAGAAAATGGGAATGCATGCATAAAAGAACGTATGTCCCAATGGAAAAGACTCTAGCACAACACTTTTAAGTGTAATATGACCTGTGTGAGCATACTGAATAAAAGAACTTACCGGATAGCCAAGTGAAGGACGGCTAGCGGCAGGAAAACTGAATGATGACCATAATACTGAAATTAAAGACAGCAGCTCTGGCAGATATTTTCGTATGTGCTGCACAAAAACCAAACTTGTACGTGATCTCTGAAGCACCATAAAAACAGCTACATGCACAAAATAAGTTTACACCATTATGTACCTGACGAACAATAGACACTAGAGTGCCAAGCTTCCATGTTATAAAATCCTTTAAGGCATCGTCACATGTCCGAACAATGAGAAAGAGATCGGGCAGAACCTATTTTAAAGGAACAAGGCCAATAAGCAAAAAAGTTACATAAGTGGTGAACGCAAAGAACTTCCAGATGGAGAGAGAAATATTTTCTCTCTTCTTTTAAGCATGAACTATGGCTAACCTTTTGCAAGTATGGAACGCAACCGAGCCCCATTGACTGAATTCGCAAAGAAAAAAAAGGGTTCAAAATTTAGACATCAAAAAAATATGAACAGTGGAAAGCACGGCTAATGAAAAACATCCCCCATTATACGGTACCTTAAATATGAACATAAGAGATCCAACAACCTTTAGGTGGTAACTAGAAAGGGAAGGGTCCCTAAGTATTCGCATTAGGGAATTGATAGAAACCTGTATTGACATACAATATTCCAAACAGACAACAATGATTAAACGTAATTATCCAAAATAAAAAATTGGCAACCATCACTTTAGATAGACCATGGACATATTACAGCTGGAGGGAACTCATTATGAACATAGATAACAAAATTCATATACCAGGCTCATGTACTACCGTGGAATAGTAATCTTCAGATGTTGCAAAAGATGGCCATAGGTCCATGGGCAGTTCATCCATCGACTGGAGATGCTGACCAGAATCACTGGCAGCACGGGTAACATCTCCATGCGATCCTGACAGGCTAAGTTGATTTCTTTTATGTAGATGAGGATCCAAGGCACCCATAATTCCGAGAACCTGTAGATCCAAAAAACATATCTCTCACTTTTAGTACGAGAAATAAATATCTGTCACATATAACTAACCAACCCCTTTTTTCTTTTTATTTTTGTCTTTATCGGATCTGAACATTAATTGAGAAGCCTACCTTTAGCACTTCGCGTCTGGTAGACCATGCCAACTCTCCATTTAGCAACTTCAACAGTAAGCCAAGTAACAGGGGGAAATCATTATATGGAGTTATGACATACCTGTTACATTAATAAATTTCACAAAAATTCACACTTCATTGAACATTACTACAAAACGACGTTACTCAAATATTTCCACTTTACAAGGAGAAAAGAAAAGGGAAGTTAAACAGTTAAACGTAAAATTATGAGAACAACATTTTGGCTAAAATAATTGGCTTAAGTTCAAAGGCAAATAACAAACCATTAATACTTGAATGAAAACAAGTGTCAAGTGGACATAAAGTCTTCAAGCATGAGATGAACTTATCGTGTGATAACTAGTGTTCTTTTTAGGTGAAGTGTGAGCTTTATGCTGCACATCCCTTGAACAAATACTCTAGTTCTTTCGGTAGAAATAAAAATATAATCAGATATTCCACATAAAAAGCCTTAATATGCATAAATGAATATAATTTCTATTAACTGATAGAGGTAAAATTAGACAAAAAGAACAACACATCATAAAACAGCATCCAAACACGGATTATACCCAGTGCTCTGCACAATTTGACCAAGAGTGGTAACAGCAACTTCACGTTTGGCAACAGCTGCTCCATCCGATAAAGCTTCAACAATTAAGGGCATAAGTTTGGGCATGTATTGTCTCATTTCGAAACCACCCTAGACAAAAGGGCGACAAAGTCAAACAAAATAGTAAAGAATTTGAATAAATCAGATTAAAAAACTCGTGAGCAGAACAAGAATAGTTACAAGTTCATAAGGTTCTACGTCAATAACACATAAAAACATATTGATAAGAAGGGTTTTCTTTTAGTGCTGGGAGAGACGAAGGTTTGAACACATCAATAAAGCTATCTACCTTATATCCATGCCTACTGAAAGTCCTCTCTAACATTACAGCTACAGAAATTAGACGCTAGTCTAAAATTGTGAGTCCAATTCAATTATTTATATGGACTGCATGCAAAACTCGAAAGAGATGTGTTTTCAAGTTTCTGGGTGTATTTTATATTGCTCTGAACATGCACAAGATGCTCGGAAGAAGATAAATTCCTTCAGAACAAATAATATGATGATATGTAAACCAATCAGTTTAGACGAAAGTAAACTATGCGCACCACTCTAGCAAGATCTCCAACAGTCACAAGAACTCCAGTAATGATGGCATTGTTTGTATTGACACCATTACCCTCAAGTCTTGCCACGAGTGCCTGCACATATAGACATCTATTGTAAGGCAAGAGATAAAAGAACCCAAAGATGCATAAAAGTTATTTATAACACAGCCTAATAAAAACCACAAAACTAGATGACATTTAAACCTTGTGTATTGGAGCAATATATGGGCGTATTAGTCGTTCACAGTTTCGTATTAAACAACCCAGTAACTTGGCACTTTCTTCTCTACATTTGCTATCTGCACTGCTGACACGGCACAGAGAGAGGGAGAGAGAGAGAGAGAGAGAGAGAGTAGTAAATATTTGGTTCTTTGGGAAACTTTATAGTGGAAGAAAGGGAATTCTTTTTTATCAATTATAAAGCTCAACTTCAGGTTAAAAAAATGGACTATAGCAATACTTCTAATCCTTTTGCATCACCTCTTGTCCAAGTACGTCAACAACTGTATAAGATGGCGACGAAGTGCTGGAAGAACATATGCAGGATTTTTTTCTGATAACCTCCCAGCCAAAGATATTGCAAACTCTCGAACATCAAGATCCTATAACAACAGTCAAGGCAGAAACAAAATATTATGCTATGCAACAGGTTTGAGCTCCCATATTAAAACATGGAACAGCTTATTCAGCAAGATGACAACACCCACAACCAAAATCACTTATGCACTGAAATTAGAAAGGGACTAGATTATAGCGTATGATAGTTTTCCATCATCAAATCTTACAATGTGTTAATGCATTATGTGTTTTGCAAAAAGATTCCAAATCTTTTCACCTGTTGTGCAGATTTGACATTGCCTACCATATCCTACAGTTAAAAATTGAAGATTCGTCCCACATCCCATCATAATGCTGCCATCATAATGATATTTGTAGTTTTTTAGAAGAAAAAGAACTTACTTTCTTATTATTAATATGCGGAATTTAGAAGCTACTTATAGGCGTAAAACTAACTTAGAAAATCTAAGCTAATCATGAAATCCTAATTGGATTCCAAGTCATCCTTATCCGGACCTAATTAAACACTATCCGGATTTCTAAATTTAAAAACATAATTAAGGAAGAGATAACTCCTAACTTTTAGAATGATAATCTCCTTAAGAGATAATTTCCTAACTTTAAAAAAACCTAGGTCTTCGACACTCCCCCTCAAGTTGGAGCATAGATATCTATCATGCCCAACTTGCTGATAAGAAACTCAAAGCTTGGTCTGAATAATCCCTTTGTGAGAGAATATCAACTATTTGTTGTGTTGTTGGAACAAACGGCATACTGATCGCAGCCTTGTTGTCACAGTAGAGTTTCATAGGCATCTCTATTGGTTTCTTCAATTCCTCAAGAATTCTTTTTAACCACGACATTTCAAATACTGCATGAGCCATTGCCCGGTACTCAGCTTCTACACTACTTTGAGATACTACACTTTGTTCCTTGCTCCTCCAAGCGACTAAGTTTCCCCAAACATAAGTGCAATATACATATGTAGATCTTCTGTCTGTGACGGAACCCGCCCAATCTGCATCTGTGTATGCTTCAATTGTTTTCTGCCCGTGTTTCTCGAAGAGGAGTCCTTTCCCTGGAATGCTTTTCAAATACCTCAAGATTCGATATACTGCCTGAAGGTGTTCTTCACGTGGTGAGTGCATGAATTGACTTACCATATTAACTGTGAACGCAATGTCTGGTCCGGTATGCGATAGGTAAATTAGTTTTCCTACCAACTTCTGATATCGTGTTGTATTTACCGGATCTCCATCTGTGGCATCTCCCACCTTCTGGTTAAGGTCCATTAGGTATCAGCAGGCCCACACCCACTCATTCATGTTTCTTTAAGAAGGTCAAGGACGTATTTCCTTTGTGAGACAACAATACCCTTTTTTGAACGAGCAACTTCCATTCCCAGAAAATATTTTAAACATCCCAAATCTTTGATCTTGAATTCTGAAGCCAGACATTCCTTCAAACGACTCATTTCAGTAGAATTATCTCCAGTAAGGATGATATTATCTACGTAGACTATCAAAACTGCAATTTTCCCATCATCGGAGTGCTTGATGAAAGTGTGGTCACTTTGGGCTTGGACATATCCCTAATTTTTGATAGACTAAGTGAATCGTTCAAACCAGGCTCTTGGGGATTGTTTAAGCCCATAAAGTGATTTTCTTAGCTTACTCACCTTAGAACCAAAGTGCTTATCAAATCCAGGCGGTGGATCCATATAAACTTCTTCTTCCAATTCTCCATTTAGAAATGCGTTCTTCACATCTAACTGTTGAAGCGGCCAGTCAAGAGTTGCTGCAATTGAAAGAAGTGCTCTTACAGTATTCAGCTTTGCCACCGGAGCAAAGGTCTCGAGATAATCAACGCCATAGGTTTGAGTAAACCCTTTAGCTACCAACCGTGCTTTATACCTCTCGAGAGATCCATCATAATTAGACTTGATGGTGAACACCCATTTGCAGCCAACTATTTTCTTCCCTCTCGGCAGATCCGTTTCTTCCCATTTGTGATTCTTCTCAAGTGCTTCCATCTCTTCAGAAATAGCTTTCCTCCACTCAGGAACCTGTAAAGCTTCTTGTACACTCTTTGGAATTTTCACAGAGGTGAGATGTGAGGTAAATGAAAAAAATGAAGGAGAAAGAATCTTATAGGACACATAATTAGGCATGGAATGTATAGTGCATGACCGGACACCCTTGCGGGTGGCAATAGGAATATTGAGATCATCAAATGACTCAGTACTAGCACTAGGGATAGACTGTATGGAATCACCAAGGGGCTCGGGACTGGAATTTAGCAAAGAATCGGATTGATTGTTACCTTATTTTAGTTCTTCCCTCAGTTCGGACTCATGGCCTTGTAGAGGATCGGGACCTTGTTTCTTTGAATTCAGTTTCCTCCTTGAATAGACCAAGAGATCTATATTCTTAGTACCAATCTTGTTCCCATTTTCTGAGCTACTGAGATTCTGATTTTGACATAGCAGTAGACTGCTGGAATTTTCAATATGTAAAACATCATTTGTTCCATTCATATTTTCCGGTTTTTTCATGTGAATCCGAATTTTCAGTCTCAATATTAGGAGTATGTGTTGAATC